AACCCCCGAAACCCTAAACCCCAAACACTCAACCCAGACTCAAGCCCTAAGCCAGCACTTCTGCCATTGACCCTAAACCCTAAACCCTAAACCCTAAACCCGAAACCCTAATCCGAAGTTGGAGAGTCACAGCCCATGCCCTCGATCCTAAACCCCGCGAGCCCGAAGTTTCCAACGCCAAGTACCGAGCCCTAAATCCGACGGTTTAGGGTTTAGGGTTTAGGGTTTAGGGTTTAGGGTACAACAAAGCCCCAAGCCCAACACCTACAGTGCTATGAACTATGAACCCTAAACTCCCAAAACCTGAACCTTCCCTAAGGGTCCAAAGGACCCAATAATACGGTACTTTGGTTGCGGATAGTAGTTCTCTAGGTTAATATTTGGGAGAGTATATGATTACTAGGTACTTGGACCCTTAGGGCTGGAACCCTCAGCCCTAAACACCTACAGTGTGATGAAGGTTTAGGGCTTAAAGTTTAGGGTTGAGGGTGTAACTATGAACCCTAAACTCCCAAAACCTGAACCTTGAACCCTCAACCCTAAAACAGGAACATTGAAAACCTGGGCGGCAGACGACACGCGTCGAAGTGTCAGACTCCCCTCGCGAGGGTAACATAGCAGCCCCAATGCCATTACCCATAGGCCCTAGAGTAGTTCCTTTTTGGCGTTCATATATAGAATCCTATAAGCTAATCCCAAAAAGGAACTACTATGGGGCCTATGGGTAGTCATGTTGATCATCATGGTATCCATGATCACAACACGGATTCGTAGAGGTTTTTGTACGGCTTCAACTTATTATCGGTTTGAGAGGGTCCGGGCAGTTGCTACAAGCGTTATAAAACCCTAATCCTGAACCCTAAACCCTGAACCGTGATTATAAGGCTTTAGAAGAAGACGGTCTTGGTATCCAGACCGATGTGTTAGGACGAGCCTTACGGATTGAGGGTGTAAGACTGCGAAGTGGGGGGTTGAAGTGATGAGTTTGGGGTGGTGCAAGTAACGGCTTAGGGTTTATAGGGCTAAATAAGCCCTACCCCTTGAATCCTAAATCCTAAACCCTCAACCCTATAGACTATACTATAATCATTTTTGGGCTTGCGCTTTCAGGATTAGGACCTATCCACTTAGGCTAGGCGGTTAGGATATCGGATTTCGGACCGAAGCGACACTGCTAATCAAGCCTTAGGGTTTAGAGTTTAGGGGCTTAGGGGTTTAGGGTTTAGGGTCTAGGGGTTTGAGATGTTCAGCCACAAGATCGGAGGCGTGTGGTTGTTTGCGTGCTGGCATGCTCCAAGGCCTAGTGGCTGCCTAGAACTCTGAGTGGCTGCTGGCTGCAGATCTAGGAATCAAGGATTGGAGCCTTATGGGGGTTCAGGGTTTAGGATTTCAGTCTTTGGAAGAGAGCCGCAGTATATTTCAGAGCCTAGGAACCTCTGCAGAATCTAAGCGCCTAGGCTCCAGAAAAAAAAACAAAGCAAAGCTTTTGCAGATTTGTGGGTGGGCATGTGAAAGTGCGCATGCACGCGATTTTGGAATACTGGCAAAAAAGACTAATTTCTAATGTTCTGGGAAATCAACGAGCCAAGGATGCTTCGCAGCTCTGAGCCATCACTTCCGGGTTTAGGAGTTTAAGGTTTGGCGTCTCTTTCGGACTCCTGTTTGGGATTTCGGTCTGGCACGGGGTGCTCATGATCCTAGCTTTGGGGAAGATGAGAACTTAAAGCGATTAGGTTTCAACGATCCCTGAGGAACACTATGGTTAATCAGTTCATGTATGTTGTGAAGCCTGTTCTGATACCCAAATCTCAAACAACTCGAGCACTAAAACCCTAAACCTATAGCATGCAATACCCTAAGCCCTCATGCCTCGACCCGGAACGGCCCTAAACCCCAAACCCGAAACGGCCTTAATCCCTAAACCCGAAACGGCCCCTAATCCCCAAGCCCTACACGGCGCAAAGCGCCCTACACGGTGTAGAGCGCCCGAGGCTGACCTGCTCGACGCCTCGAAACACCCGAAGCCTAAACCCTAAACCCTAAACCCAGGTTACGATCCCAGGTACATCCTGACAGTCTCAACGTAAAATAGGGGCCTTAAAAATTAGAATAGGGTTCCTTTAAGAGTTCCTTTAAAAGGGTTCTATAAGGGCTGCTACAAGGGTTTAGGGTTTAGGGGCTTTAGGAATTAGAATAGTGTTAACCCTGAGGGTGCAAAGGACCCAATAACACAGTACTTTGCTTGCGGATGCTAGTTAGCTAGGTCAATCTTTGGGAGACTATATGATTATGAGGTCCTTGGACCCTTAGGGTAATAATTAGAATGGAGTTTCGGGGTATATGATACTATAACTATAGCAAGGAACCCCCCAAAAATAGTATTGGTAATCATTTAGGCCCCTATGTTTCCAAGGTTGAAGCCATGGGCCCCTAGTATGGGCCCTTAACCCTGAGATCCTTATACACCTACTTATGTACCCTATATGTACCCTTAAGGGTCCCTAGAATGGCCTAACGGTCCATATTCGGGGCCCATACTTCTAACCTTAGAACGTTAGGAACCTGATTAAGAAAACCCTAGCCCTCGACCTCCGAACCAGCAGGATTTATATGGTTAGGTTTCGAAATTAAGGTCCCGTTTTAGGGTCTTCGAAATAGTACGGCACCCTTATAAGAAGACCCTAGAAGGGACCCTAGATTATTAGAAAGCTTCCCAAGAAAGCATAAGGAACCCTAATGAATCAAGACTGAAGGTTTCTTAATCAGGTTCCCATATTGGTTTAGGGTTTAGGGTTTAGGGTTTAGGGTTTAGGGTTTAGGGTTTACAAACTGACACCCTTGAGTCGACAGATCCCTCTCTGCCAGACCCTAAAGACGACAGTCATGAAAAAGCCACAAATCCTCAACGCCACGCTCACAACGGTTGCAGCCACCCTTAATGACTCTTCAAACCCTACCTATAGTCTCCATTATAGTTCCTTTTTCCCGCTTTAACCAATTCAAACAAATAAATAAATAAATAAATAAATATATATATATATATATTAAGGTTCCTACAAGGTAGCCCCGAAAGGAACTACAATGGAGACTATATAGGTAGAACCCTAAACCCTAAATCATATACCCTAAATCCTATGCTCTAATATCCTAAACCCTATATATATATATATCCTAAACCCTAAATCATAACCCTTCTGCCTTGCGGGCCACCCCACTTCGGCCGCCGTGCAGGGGCGATGGTGGAGTCTGCAGCCCGCTTCATGGCTGCAAGCTGAACGCGACCAATAAGCAAAGCGCAAAAGCCTTCTATGAAGCATGCACGCCTAGTATAGGGGCCTGAATAATTAGACCAGGGTTTCGGGGGGCTCCTTCTGATTATGGTAGAATATACCCCAAAGCCCTATTCTAGCTATTGAGGCCCCTAAACCCTAAACCCTAAACCCTGAACCCCCTATATTATGTAAGTCTGCAGCCCTACACCCAAGGCCGACTCCCTTAGTTTCTGGGAGTCCTGGAAGTAGGAAGAGGTGGTCTTCTATACACACGAGCCTCACTGTTTAGAGTGGGGCTTTTTTTAAGGTTTTCGAGGGGTTTGATCATATCCTGACCATAACGGGGAAACTGTGCTCTGTTGCTCAGGCCTCTACATTCGCCCTTCGGGCAGGTGTGGGCATGTTTTGTTCACAGTTCTTGCCTTCGGCCGGGTTCAAGGTCTAGGGTGTGGGCCCACTTATTTAATTCTGGTCTTAATTCTGGTCGGTTAAGGTAGTGTGCTGCAAACCTGACGAACCAGACTGGCAAGTGCGAGGAGCAGTTTGCGTGAACATCAAAGCCAGACTTCTGCAGGTGTGGGCCGTGACTTGGCGGATGTCAGCACTTGCGAAGGAAAGCCATGCTACCCCGCATGTGAAAAGGCCCCCCATGGCCCCCTAAACCCTAAACCCTAAACCCTAAACCCTAAACGCTAAACCCCAAACCCGTCAAAATGCTCCGAACCGAGGTCGATGTTCGGATGTAGGCGGCCGGTTCGGGCCGGTAGAAGGTGTACGGTACTACAGGGACCAGACTACGCATGTCTGCGCTGCATTGAATGTAGAACCGAAGCCTTCTGGATTGCAAAGACGTAAGACTCACGGCCACACCCTTTTGCCTGCGAGAGAAGGGCCTTTGCAACAAGAAGGCAAAACCGCAATCCCGCTCGCCCACAATGCCCGTTACAAATCTTACAAATCCGGAGGGGGGTTACACTTGAGGAAAGTGCCGATGGTGACCGAAGAAGATGGCATTTGATAAAGGAAGGCCTTTCACTAAAGCTGAAACACGGTTGAAGCTTATAAGCGCACCGACTGGCACTATCCACATCCCCTCAAAGGCATCTGCGAGGAGAAACGGGACAGCAAATGCATGTGCGAGAGCACTGTTGTGTTGCGAAGGCGGCCGGTACCGTACTGTAGAGACAATATTACCCATGTCTGCGCTGCATTTAATGTAGAACCGGGCATTTTTTGCAAAGACGTAAGTAAGACTCACGGCCACAACCTTTTCTCTGCGAGAGAAGGGCGTTTGTACCCAGAAAAACAGTTCCGCTCGCCCACAATGCCTGTTACAAGTCTTACAAAGTCTTGCAAATCCGAGGGGGGTTACACTTCAGGAAAGTGCCGATGGTGCCCGAAGAAGATGGCAGTTTGGATAAAGAAAAGCCTTTCACTGAAGCTGAAACACGGTTGAAGAAACAGGATTTGGCAGTTTATGAGCGCACCGACAGGCATTATCCACATCCCCTCAAAAGGCATCTGCTAGCCGCTAGCCCAAAGGGTCCAAGTTATAGTATAGTATATACTTTGGGGGCCCATATACCTGCAAAGTAGCTACCATATTAGTACTTGGACCCTTTGGGTAGGAGAACCGGGACAGCAAAATGCAGGTGCGAGGCCAGGGTTGTGTTCGTCTAAACTACGAAGCGCTATGTCATCCACTCGTTTGAGCAGCAGAAAGATGCTTCAGCAGAGCGGTGGGACGAGACGACCAGTTTTGGAACAGTAATCGCGGTACTCATCACCGAATTGTTGGATCATCATTTCCTCTTCATAGCCAACCCTCACAAAGTACAGAATTGCAAAAGACACTACAGGCGCGAAGCCAGCGATCCAATTGTGCACGAGTAAAGGCTGCACCATGGTCAGCATCCAAAGTGCTGTGTACATCGGATGGCGTACCTGGCGGTATACACCCGTGGTAACCTTGGTTCTCCAGCTTCCCCTTAATAAGGGTTTAGGGCTTTTAGGGTTCAGGGTTTAGGGTTTAGGGTTTAGGCCGGCTTCAATCATAACCCCCCCCAAAAAAAAATAGCAAAAGGGTAGTACTGGGGAACCCAGAAACTAAGGTGTGGTTCTCGCGGAGTTCGGTCGTGGGGCTCCAATTGCGGCCAAGATCGACGTGGCTGCGCCAGAAGAGATACAAGGCTGGTACCGTCACTAGAGAGGCCACCGCTATGGACCAGGGCCCGGGATCATCGTGATCTGCAGCACGTGGGAAGCCGGTGAGAAGGAAGATGACGGGGATGAAATACATTCCAAAAAGTACGCCGCAAAGCAATGCCTTCTCCGTGGACATCTGGACCTTCTCTGTTATTGTATTTGCCTGCTGGTCCTTCTCGAAAGGGCGGCGGATGACAGTTACCGCCATCCAAGTCATGATCCACACAAGTGAGCCTGCTCCGTTTACCTCCGCCCGCCATGCGATTGCAAGCATAACGACGAAAAACAGCACCAAGTACGAGTAGACAGCCGTGATCGGTGGTATCGGCTTCGACTCTTCATTCTCCAGGAGTGCCGACGCTGGCGACGGTGGCGCCGCCATAAGTCAAACTGATGCAACCGGCTCGGGGTCTTAAAATGGACATAGCTGGTTTAGGGTTTAGGGGCCTAGGTTTTGCACGATGCTATAAGGGTTTTGTTATGGGAGCACTGATAAACACATGTAGGGCTTGGGTGGGTGCCTATTGTGGTATGGTTGCACAGGGACTTAAAGAGGAGACGACTACTAGTTGCTCAGACCTCGATATCAGGTCCCCTGGTCTGAGTTGGAAGGCGATGAGTCAGAGTCATGCAGGATCCGAGGGTGCGCGCTTGTAGAAGGTCGGTTTAGGGTTTAGGGTTTAGGGGCCAAGTAGCCGGAATGTGACCATGCTCGATAGTCTGCAACATCTGTCGATGGCAACTCCCCACTGACGAGACGTGACAACGCAGTGACGACCAAACCCCAGCAAACCCGTGGAATATACAAAATATGGCCTGCGGTACCGAGATTCATTTGCGCTCTTCCTGCCTGTACACTGTACACAATGCAGAACTGAACCGTCATATGGGTTAGGTCCCCCCTCCTGGAATGTTGGCCCAGGAAATGGCCCGAACCACGTGGAAAGCTAGCTGATATGGATGTTCGACTCGGCAAAGAGTCTTTCAACACGTAAAGCTACCGATGTGATCACACACCTTTGGGAAATATGTCGATGTGCGGCAGACACTGTACAAGCTGCAAGGCGCAATAGAGATGTTGATGTCGTGCGGCTGGCATTCCTGCATCAGCCAAGTGTGTAGAGGGTATAGCTGAAGGTGCCTATATATAACCCCCTTGAACACAAAGCCCCAGAACATTGGCTTCGATCTCCAATAAAATAAAGAAGATGTCCCAAAAGCCTCCGAGCCCACCACAAACAATGTCTTTCTGAAACCTGTTGTCATCGAAAACTCACAAGATTTTTTTGTGCGGGTCAGAACAGCCCCATGCAAGCCGCGGCCTCAGTCGTCTCGTGAAAACTCCGAGACCCTGAACCCTAAAGGACCCTGAAAACTTAAACCCCTAAACCCTGAACTTTAAACCCTAAAGCCCTAACTCCTAAACCCTAAACTTTAAACCCTAAAGCCCTAACTCCCAAACCCTAAACTTTAAACCGTAAAGCCCTAAACTCCTAATTCCTAAAGCCCTAAACTCCTAGAGCCTGCACTCGACAGGGCCTCAGTCATCTTCCAGCACCGTGATTTCCGGCACGGGAGGCATACCAGGGTCGCAAAAAGTTGGAGCAATGTAGACCTGCATGCTCAGCCTTCTTTGGGGATCGGCTAATTTAGGTTTAGGGCTTAGGGTTTAGGGTTGTAAGGGCCTTAATGATTTGCAAGGGGTTTTGGGGTATATCTTCGATAATCCTACTAAGGAAGCCCCCAAGTAGTATCGGTAATTATTTAGGCCCCTACCTTAGGTTTACAGTTTAGGGTTTAAGGGTCCCTGAACCCTATACCTGGACCCCAAACAACTTTCCTTTTCAGGGTTCCTTAGTATGGTTTCCTTATATACGTAGGCAATTTGGTGTTAAAGTAAACCCTAAAAGGCCCTAAACCCTAAACCCTAAGTTCAGCCGGTAGGTGCAGCTTCATGGAGCAGCCCCTGAACCGAACTGAACCCAAACCTAATCCCTAAACTTAAACTTAAACCCAAAGGACCCCTGAACCCCTAAACCCCACATGACTAATTTCAAACCCTAGTGCAAGGGTTTGAGGTTTCGGGTTCTTCTACCAGAAACCACTGAAAACCCTAAACCCAACTCAGCAAGCTGTATTTTGTGCCCTCGCAGCTCGCCTGCCAACCTTCCAGTGGAAGGCAGCGGTGGCTGTAGGAAGGCCTTCGTCTTCTTGAGAAGTTTGATTCAAGTTGCGGTAGTAAGGAAACCATTTTTTGTTGAAGGCACGTAAGAAGGCAACCTAGGGTCTAGGGTTTAGTGTTGAAGGTTCGAGCTGCTGTAACAAGGAAACCCAACATTCTATGTACCCCTCTCACGGAGACATAAACTTAGTTCCCTAGACGCCTGGCCCTTGTAGAAACCGATACACGGTCCCTCAATTATTGTAATTTAAACGGAGTTCCCTCACCCTTAAATCGAACCGCTCCATGATCCCTATAACCGGAAGGGTCCTAGGTACTTATATGGCAGCATGTACGGCTTCTGTAATAGAAATCGCTATTTGGTTCGGGCAAGCTTCCCCCCATATAAGTACTCAGGACCCCTTGGGTTATGCTAACTTCCTAAACCCTAAACCCTAAGCCCTAAACCCCTAAACCCCTAAACCCCAAACCCAAAAACCCCAAACCCTAAACCCCTAAACCCTAAACCCCTAAACCCTATCCCCTCAACCCTACACGAAGACCTTGCTTAACAAGGCCCGGTGGCTGGAAATAGATACCACGGGCCGATCGCACCGGGCCTTGGTTCTCTGGGCCAAGGGCCCAAGGTCTGGGGTGTAGGGCTTATAGGGCTTTGGGCTTTGGGGTTTAGGGGGGGTTTTGGGTTGAGGGGTTCAGGGGTT